AGTACGGTGCAGAATTAGCTCAATTTTTCCAAAAAAATTCTGAACATTCAGGAATATTCAGAACTAGACTATTACGAAATATTTAGAAACCCTCTGGAATATTCCTGAATGTTCAGAATTTTTTTGGAAAAATTGAGCTAATTCTGCACCGTACTGAAGCATTTCAGAACATTCTACAAATATTTAAGCGTTGACCTGCAAAACATGGACAAACTGTGGTTATGTCTACAGGTATAGATGTAACAAAACCAGAAAATATTGAATTTTGACAGACAAAAAAATGAGTTTTTCAAAATTTTTGTCCCCTACTGGCCTAATGTATCCAAATGGATATATCAAGCAATTAGATGCCGAAGCACTTATTGGTTCTGAAAAATAAACTTTTCCTATCTCCATGGTCTAGAAGCAACAAAAATGCACGAAAAGATTTTTTTGCTACCTGTCTTCTGGTAGCCGGCTGGAAAGGGTTAAAAAAAAATGGTTCAATCATCAATTTTATCATCATCATCATTTAATGCATTGTCATCAATATTGTTGTCACTATTAATCAAACCATTTTCTAATTCTTCAGCATTTTTTGTCTGCAGCTTTAAATATTTCTTCATGTTTATCATCATGTGCAAAATAGCCAGCAGTATGTTCATGACCACATACTGATAAGCATTCGTTACAAAGTTGTTGAATATCATTCAAATTGAAATGTACATTCTGTTGCCGAACATAATTCTTTAAACGCGCCCAACCACGTTTAAGTGGATTCAAGACACAACGCTTAACTAGTATCCTGACTATTTCAACATCATATTTACTTGCTAGTTTATCAACTAAGAATTCTTTCGGTGGTAGACGAGTACAAACTCATTGAGGTAACTCGGCTTTTGTCAGATAAGATTCAAATTTGATTTTTCTGACAGTTAACCAACCAACAAATAATTGTTTTCTCCATGCACGTTTTGGTAGATCAGATTCTGGTGTGAACTTGCTATGCCATTTAGCATTGTCTATAATAATAGTTATTTTTCTCGGTTTTTCATGTTCCAATCGCAGAGTACTGGCAGCACGGTCCATCTATGCGACAAAATGATTACTGGTCACAGAGTTTTACTTTATTACATCGGAATATTTTCCGAGAAAACCTTCCTGTTCTTGAAACTAGTTAAAGGTTTGTGAGAATATGATTGAGCATTTTCGGATCCAATCTCTTGAAAATCAATCGGTTACCGGAGACTTGAAAATACAGAAGGTATTTACAAAACTCTAACAAAGGTCTGGAAACTCTTTCGGATTCAGTTATACGTTTCTGAAAGAGGTTCCAAGAGAATGAATTTTTGTTAGAGTGTAGCTTTATCCCGTCATTTTACCGCTTTACATTTAGTCTTGTAAATGTACATTTATTCACTTAATCTATACACTTAATCTGACCATTGGATCGATTTCCTTAGTGCAATCCCTTAATCTCGGTCATTAAGCATTTTTCCTTGATTTATATCTATTGCTTTAATGAAATTACTTGACGTATTCTTTGAATTTACCTACTTGATGTATCTCCTTAGTCGTTTTCTTCGATTTATTCTTCAAGTCGATGCTGATAAATATGTATTTTTTTTTCATAACGCTTTATATATTTATTGTGACGAATTCACCATAAGGCGCTAACCATCATAGCACAAATAAGGCATTCAAATTCCCAGTAAGGAGTGAAAACTAACTAAAAACAAATTCATATAGATGATCGAAAAAGGTACAACAGTCGTTATCAAGAAAAGAAGCGAGTCTTGTGCTTGGACAACCAAGCAGCACATATCTTATGCTCGCTTTAATTCGATAATCGTTATAAAGTATGTTGAATAAGTATTTATATTGTAATGCGCACTCGATGAATATTGATTCGTACAGCTGAGTATCTTTCATTCGCTTAAGTAGGCATTTCTTATATCTTTTTCCAATTGCAGACAAACAAAAGTGACTATGTAAGTCTTCTGTTAGACATTGAAATAGATAGTGAATTAATCTTAAGCATCATCGTTAGAATGCTGCTAATCGTGCTTTGAGAGGACTTTGCGAAGAGGCAATAAATTGTTGCCATCATGTAAATGTGTAGCCATATAAATATATATATATGTATTGACGAATTTGTTTTTCAATTTTGAAAACGACGGGAACTGCCGATGAATAAACTTTAGTATCGTGTAAGCTTTTCGTAATTTAATAAATTGAGCATCAATCATAATCCGAAAAGGTAGTTTTGCGTCAAAATGAAAGCCAAAATATTTGAAGTTCTTCTTCTGCAAAATTTTCGTTCTATCATAGTAAATATTCAGCATTGAATATTGAACTGATTTGTAGTAAAAAACACAGTGAGTTTTGTTCGAATTTAGTGGTTAATGCCATCTGTTCGCGTAGTTCAACAACTTTAACATGTCGTTGTTGATACGTTCTTCGATTTCGACAATTTGAAATTTCAAGTTTAGATAAATTGATGAAGTATAAGAAGTTGCTATATCATCAACATATGCATGGATATGAGCCGGATTTTCAAAACATTGAGGAAGATCATGATGACTGGTAACATATATTATAGGACAAAGGGAGCTACCTTGAGGAGCCCCTCATTGAACGTTGATCAATAGGTGATTCAATATCTTCATAATCAATTTTGAGAGTTCGATTGGTAAAATCATCAGCTATCCAAGCAAGATACGCTGAAGGACAGCTAAGTCTATTCAGCATCAGCAACAGTTCTTGTTGCCAAAGGTTGTCAAAAACTTGTCAAAAATCAAAATAAACGACTGGAGTGAATGAATTGTAACGTAGTGATTGGGTAATTTGTTCTAATAAGCAGTTAACTTGGGATGCTGTTGCTTGATGAGGTCTCGCATCAGACTGTTGAGTCAGTCAAAATATTCATTGTTGATGAGCATCTGTTGAATCTAAGAAGGAATAATCTTTCATAGATTTTACTGAATATTGGTCACATCAAAATTGTACGTAATTGATTTGTAGTTGGTGTTGAATTGTCGCTTTTATTAAGATAAATTGTGCGAACCGTTTTTCATTCTTGGCCCCAATGAGCTGCACGGAATAGTTCATTATAAGCATGAATAAGCAAAGCATGGTAATGTACCGGAAGGAGCTTGATCATATTATTAGATATTTGATCAAGACCAGATGAGTTTTTATTTTTTTCATGATCTAATTGTATTTTTTATATCTTGTTCATCAAATTGAAGATCAAATTGACTAGATATTACGTAGTTTAATATCATCTTTATCAGCTAAACTGTATAATTTCCATAATTCATCATCTTCAATATCATGTGCATTGTCCATGGTTACTGAAGGTGATGAATGACGTTCAGTAAAATGATGACTTGAGCATTTCACAATGTTTTCCGGTGATCGACATACTGTGTTTTTATCTGTTAAAACCAAAAAGTCAATTGATTTCTTTTTGTTCAACTTTCTCACTGTACACCAAAATGTTGATGGATTTGGCGAAGCAACATTTGATATAAATTTTTCCCAATTTCTTTGTCTATCTGCTTGAATGTCGATATCTATTTTGTAAGTAATGCTTGCTATGAAGAGTATTCCTAGTAAGAATGACATGGATGATCGTTTTTATTTGACTTGATTTCATACGGTTACTCGAAGTTTAAGAGCGGTCAGAAACTGTTGACACATAAGATATTAATTGTAAGTGTTGTTCAATTTATTCAACAAAATTTCGTATTCTGCTTGAAGTTGATCATAAAGAACAGCAAGAATCGATGAGTAAAGTTTTCAATAAGTTCGAGGTACCAAGTGCTTGTCCATTAATACCCTAAGATGGAAGAATTTCGTGAATATATGTAGATGATCGCTGCCTGTATGAGGTAAAGATTGACTTTCTGATGTTTCAGGAATTTCAGTTGATATAATAAGATTGATAGTTGTTGTGGAGCGTAGAGATGTTTTAATGCCAGTATACGTACATTCAAACTGTGTTTGTCAAGCCAATTAGTTAAGACGTGTTCCTTGGTAGTCATCTGTGAACAGTCTCAATCTGGATGCTTGCTATTTAGATCACCTACTATAATAATACTCTTCGATTCATTCAGTAAGGTTGTCATAGTAGCTAATGGTAATTGATCGGTAGGTGGCGAGTAAATACTTGCGACAACAATTTTTTGACCATTGACTACAATTCAAGCAGCTACCAAATTCGGTTCATTGATTTCTATCAAGTGACATGTCAATCTTTTGTTCACTGCTAATACAACACCATCATGTGAATTCGTACCTTCTTTTAAATAAACGTTGTAGGACAAGAGAAGTTATTCGATTCTTTTCTTCAGTATCATGGCACCCAGTTCATTGAGAGAGATTATTGTTGGGGACAGATCATTTACCATTTCAATTAGATTAGCTTGATTTGAGTAGAAATAACGAATATTATTATGTAACATAGAAAGTCAACTTGATAGTATTTAAAGTGAACGATATTGTTGCTGTCAGAAATTAGAAAGTTCTTGAAAAATCCTGGTTCAGCAACATTCTTGTAATGTTTCTATTCCAATTTATTTTTGATAATGTGAGAGTTCATATAATAGAGGTGATAGTTTGTCTGTCAATTTATTGAATTTGTATCTGTTGAACTGCAGAGAAATTGAATTATTCGTGAGAGACATTTTCTGTTGGAGGATCAGTATGGTCGCATGTTAACTGCTGGTTGAGATATTTCAATTGATGTTTATAGTTCATCACTAATTCATTGATTTTATTGTGCAATTTTCTGAAATATTCCTGATTATTTTGATTTTTCGGTGATTGCAATACGATGCAGCCTAGTTCTTCAATAGATGAGAGAATGGTTTCACCAACTATATTTTCCATATCAATTTGATGATCAGAATAGATATTTCTTTTCTTTTCGATATCGCATAGTTGTGATGACAAATAAGAAGAAAATTCGTCTAACCGACGCTCTATTTTGTTTAAGAATACCTGAGCATATGTTCTTTTAGGAGATTCTGTAGATTGACGTCGTATGTAAGAAGATAAGTGTGACAAGCTGTCATTTCTTAATGTTGGAAAATCTCTTTCTTGAATACCAGATTGATGTTGATATTGTTCCGTAAGACCCAGTAGCTCTGCTCTTTGCTTTTTTGAATGTTCCATTAGAGCACAACATTTTTCCTGCACTATTGGACATGCTGAATAACTTCATATGTGATCACCACCATAATTGATACACCTTTCATGAATCGGACAGCCGTATTCAAGAGAATGTTCTTATGCACATCTTGAGCATAATCAAGATCGGGTGCAGTTTTTTGTTGTACGATCATGTCGAAAACATTTATTAATACGTATTGGTAAATGATAAGATTGTACTGGATATATCATACTCCCAACATTTATTTTTCCAGATCTGATGAGAGTTTTAACTTCTTCAATAGATTCGAAATCGGTACGAACTGCATTTAATGGTGATCCAACTTTTACCTGCATTCCTGTGATTTTATATAAAGAAACGTAAAGTTGTTCAAGTTCAGTTAACCATTCATCTTCATTCCAATTACGATGAAATTGTTGAATGACAAGTGAATATTCAGGTGGAAGTTGTCGTGGAACTTTTACATCAATATTTACTTCTTTCAATGCTCTTGACCATTTATTCGGATCTAATACTGATTAAAATGTTGGTGAGTCATCGGCAAAGATAAGAAGAGAGCGCATATGACCAAAACGTGTAGTTATTTGTTAATTCAATACCATGTTGATTTTTCCACTTCGATGTTAGATCGTCCGTTACTTCCTTGATCAAAGTTTGTTGTTTACCAACAAATTTAACAGCAATCGGCGAAAATGATATTTTCGATGTTGATATTGGATGAGTCATCAGAGGTTGTGTTGAATTTACAGTGTTTTCGGTGTGGGTGTGGGTGCAGGTGGATGTGGGTTTGGGTGTCGAAGTTATCGTTATTCATTCACACCCAGACTCACCTCTATTTTAAACGCATACTTATGAGACTATGTTGTCATGAGTTACGATGTGCTTATGTGACGTTTCTCATATGAGTAACTCGTTCTATGAAACAACATAAAATAAGCGTTGAAGTAAATAAAGAAGAAATGTGAATACATTGTTTCTGTTCTTTCCCTAAACACCATGATAGACGCCTTAGAATATCATTAAAGACCATGACGAACACAGAGCCTTTCCATTCCTGCTATAGACTGCGGCAGACTGCTGATGCCGAATCAAAGACTGAATTGCCCTAACACAGCAGTATCTAGGATCCAAAGATTAGCAATTGAAGAAAATTTAAGCAATTCAAGGACCTCAACACATCCATTTAACCTAAAGCATATTGCTTGAAACAGTCATGGAATTCAAGAAATTCAACGTATTATATAACTTTGAATTATACCGTTGAAAGTGTCATGGAATACAAAGGAATCAAAGAATTCAAGCAATTTAAGCAATTCAAGGAAATTCAAGAAATTCAACATATCTATATATCTTTGAACTATATACCCTGAAAGTATCATGGGATTCAAGCAATTCAAGGAATTTAAGGAAATTCAAGAAATTCAATACATCATATAATTTCATGAATTCCTTGATTTTCTTGAATTCCATCCTAGGGTAGACTTTTAACTCGATATGGTATGTAGTTTTCTTGAATTTCTAGAATTTTCTTTGATTTCTTCAATTGCTTGATTTTCTTGATTTCTGTGAATTCCGTCGTAGTTTAGACTTGTAACTCATTATGCTATGTATCTTTGTTGCATTCCGTGAATTTCCTTGAATTTCGAATTTCTGGATCCCAGATATATCGCGCCAATCCAGTTCTTATTCACACTCGTCGAAATCTTACATAAGATTTTAAGTAAATTAAAATGATAATTGTTAGGTGTTATGCCGAATTTCACCTGTATTTTAAACTAGAATCTGATAAACTTCTATCAGTATACTAAGTCATTTTGACGACTTTGAGAAACACTGATTAGTGCACAGCTTCAGTCTAGCACTGGAATAACTCGAGTGCAAAGAAAGAGTTGATAAAGAGTTAAAAAAACCTCAATGAACACTTGACGTTTAGTATCTGAACTTGTTGATTAACTCATTTTTACTGCGACTGATATAATCTCATTTTAGGATATTAAAAAACATAATGACATGTCGAGAACGAGAGTGTTCAAGAAGGAGCTCCCTTTAAACGGATAGGGAGTACCTCCTAATCATCGGACGACACTGAAAACTTTTGCCGGTATAGTTGGAATGGAAACAGAAAAAAATTCAGGAAAAAGTCTTTGAAATCTCCTCTTGGGCTATAAAAAGATCCGAGTCTTTTAATACGGTTTTCAAAATTTTTGCCAAAATGGGTCTTCTGATATGAGAGGGGGAGGGAGAGGGGAGTTAGTAAAAAAAAGATCCAGTAAAAAAGCAAAAAAATTGCCTCCTCAACAATGAGAAAAGAATCCCAAAAATCTTTCTCTTTCAACATATCTATCACGCAAAACATCACCCCTAATGTTGTATCCCAAAATTATTGCCTATTGATTTAATTATCTCATACGTACGCTATTTATGCATTATTCATGCATTATTTGTACAATTATTATTTATATATACATTTACGTTTGGAGTACCTGTAAAATTATTATCCTTTATTCATCACTACTTATTTATTCATTCAAAAAAAATTGTGTTTTTATTTATATATATATACATCCTATATCGATATGAGTATTCATGATAAGATTAATCTTGATATCGTTCTTTAAAATTGATTTTCTTTTCAAAAAATTATTCTTCCATATTTCTCATGATATAACTATTAATTTTCATAGAATCGTTAAGTCTCTCTTAATTAAGAAACTATTTATTCATAAAAATTATTAAATCAATCTACTATCCAAAGCCGCATCCTCTTTTTATCATTGCTCTTTATTACTAAAATGCATTATTTATTCAATATATTTTTTTAAATTTATTTATAAAATGACTCCTTATTCTTTACTTATCAGCTACTTTTTATTCATCCATTAAACCATTATTTAACAACATTCTTAGAGAATCTCCAGAGAAAGAAAAACTGAAAAAACCTTGCGTTATTTACATTGTCTCCGGTTATTTATTTGCCCACTTGCTATTTTCTTTTCTTTCTCTTTCTTCATCTTTTTTTGGTTGGCTCTCTTCTATGCTAAAAAAATGAAAATAATAATAATATATAAATGAAAAAAAAAAACAATATTAAGTCTTGTTACATATTTCCTTATTTATTTGATTACTATACAAAAAAAACAATCTTCTCTTAAATCAAAACCTCATTTTGACTTGTTAAATTTATATAAGTCGGTGTGGTTCTGTAAGAGAGAAGAGAAGACTTGCTTCACACCCAAATCAATACCCACAAGCTAACCCATCTAGTTTTATATCCGAATTGATTATCTAATCAGATACACAATTCTATTTTGTTTAGACAGGAATATCACTGCGGTCCATTATGAATATATTTCAAGCAAAGACAAGACCGATTTTCGATTTCTGAGATGCATTGATTCGATCTATCTATGACGAGCACAATAAATCCAATACAATCATTGATAGTGTCAATCTCATCCATCGTCTCGAGCAATAAGGTATGGGATGTGGGTATTGATATGACTTAAAGAGACACCTACCCACACAAACCCATACCCACTCAGCTGTACCCACAAAAATAGCCATCACCATACCCCACCCTTAAACGTTAGCTCATACCCTGTGGGATTGAAATGTGAAACATGAGAATGCAAATAAGGTTGAGTGTATACGCCGATTTGCGCAGGTATCCAGTGAATAGTTGTTCGTGGTGGTTTGTGTATTTATGTAGTCGCGGCTGTGGTTGTTTTTATAATGAATACGGTTATAAGCAACCACCATTTTACATTTCAATACTCTCCTACCAGCTGGCACACCAACACATCTCTCAAGTTTCAGGTTCTCCTTCAATTTTGTTGTTTTGAGGTTTTCCTCATGAGTTATTCGATGAGGACTCTTTTGGTTCTCTTGCAGAGGCTGAGTAATTCATGCAAATAAGAGAAGCATATAAAGCCATCAATCCACTTTTCATTTCTTTCAGCCAGGTTTGTCGGTATTACTTACTTAGAAGTCTTACTGTTTCTCCTTGTCTTACACTTTTTTCTCTGTTTCTCATTACTCAGGTTAAATGTATATGACTGTATCTTTTGTTTTTCGTCGAATTCCAGCAGTAGGATCCAAAAAAGGTTCGTATTCTCCAATTTCAGCGTAGTTCCTGCTACTTCTTGACTCAAGAAGAAACATCGGGTAACGTTTCGAATGCTTTTATCATGACAGTAGGATACGGACCATATTGATTCGTTTTCACTTGGAACATGAATTCTACATCCGACTGCTTCTGGTGTAGTAGTCGATATGGTATCGCACTGTAGATCCTGAGTCTAGCCATTCTGACAACCGAACTTGAGGACGAGGCATTTTTTGGTGTTTTTGTGAAACACTATCTAATAGCTGTTGGCACAATCTCCTGTGCGATTCGAATATGAAACATGATATATCCATTCTTGCTAATTTCCTAAAAGCTTGTCTTTTTCATGTATATTGTAGCATATTTCGTCATCATTCCTCACTTTACAGCATAAAAACTCAACAATGAAATACTCTACATACATATTTTAATAATATGTTAGTGATACATAACCTCTTATAAATGCTGCAGACCGTCCATTACCATCTATAATGGTCTCTGGAGCCTGTCTGTCATGGTTTGCGAAA